TTGGCAACGGTAAAAATTGTCTTTGATAAACAGTTTTTTCAGTTCAACGTTTATTCTAAACCGATGTTCTTGGTAACATTTCCAAATCAATACTGAATGCATCTCGCTATGTCGCGGCTATTTATAGGAAAAAAGGCCAAGCGCAAAAGGCTGCTTGGCTCCATGCAATGATTGCTTAAATCTAATCTGTTCAATTCTGAACAAGATCTTAATTTTTTTTTACACCCATTTATAAATTTTCAGACCCCCATTTATAAATTTTCTGACCCCCATCTGGCAAAAACATTTTACCCCCCTAGAATTTTTGAACTTGCACACGTCTGGCAACAAATCGCGTTTGAGAAACTTAAGGGAAGCCTATCGGGAGATCTCGTTCTGGGTTTTTACAGCATCAGAGATCGTACACAAATATATGCCGACGCCGGCCCTGTTCCATTAGGCGCAGTACTGATCCAGTTGAATCAGCAAAACGAACCTAGAGTAATCGCTTACGCGAGTAAAAGCTTGTCGGCTACTGAGAAGAGATACTGTCAAACAGATAAGGAAGCGCTAGCGTTAGTCTGGGCTGTAGAGAGATTCCATTTCTACGTGTATGGCCGGCAGTTTGATTTAATAACCGACCACAAAGCACTTGGGACAATATTTTCGACTAAAAGTAAGCCATGTGCCCGAATCGAACGGTGGGTATTGCGCATGCTATCGTACAAATACAAAGTCATCTTCAAACCAGGCAAAAATAATATCGCCGATCCGCTGTCTCGATTGGTTGTCACGGATGAACCAGAAACAAGTTTCGATTACGGTACTGAAGAATATGTGAATCACATTGTCGCACTCGCTGTACCAACAGCTATCAAACTTGAAGAAATTATCACCGCTTCTGGAAATGATGAAAAGTTGCAAGAAGTAAAGATTGGTCTCATAGAAAACGTTTGGTCCGAGAAAACAAAGATATACAAAAATTTCGAAACTGAGCTGTGTTTTGGCGGTAGCATTTTGCTTCATGGAAATCGCATCGTCATGTCAGGAAGTCTACGACCACGTACCATTGAATTAGCACATGAGGGTCACCCGGGCATCACAGTCATGAAACGTCGAATTCGTACAAAAGTGTGGTGGCCAAAGATAGATGTTGAAGCGGAAAAGTTTGTCAAGCAATATTACGGCTGTACAATGGTATCGGCACCACAGCCACCCGAGCCATTAAAACGAAAAGAATTACCTTCAGAGCCATGGAAACATTTGGCACTCGATTTTTTGGGCCTTTTACCGTCGGGTCACAATTTGCTAGTAGTAGTCAATTATTACAGTCGTTTCTTCGAAATCGATATCATGACAAAAATCACGGCTACTGAAACAATCAGACGACTCCGAGTGATTTTCGCCCGTTTCGGTAGACCGAGTACAATCACCCTCGGCAATGGATCGCAACTCACCAGCTCAGAACTGCAAGCATTTTGCACTGAACACGGCATCTATTTAAATCATTCAACACCGTATTGGCCTCAGCAAAACGGTGAGGTCGAACGACAGAATCGCTCGATTCTAAAGCGCCTAATAATCAGCCAAAATACACACAAAGACTGGCATAAAGAATTGCAAGACTATTTGTTGATGTATCGATCTACACCACATTCAACGACGATGAAAACACCAACTGAGTTGATGTTTGGTAGAACAATCAATGATAAGTTACCGCAAATAGCCGATAATTTGCCATTCGAGCTCGATGAAGAGACCAGAGATCGTGACAAAACTAAGAAACAGCAAGGAAAAGAATATGCTGACGAAAAGCGACGTGCAAAAGAAAACAGCATTGCAATCGGAGACTTGGTCTGGCTGAAAAATTTGGTGAAAGCAAACAAACTCACGGCTACATTCGAGCCAGTTGCATTCAAAGTGATAAGCCGAAGCGGTTCCGAATTACTTATCGAAAATCTGGAAACCAAAATGCAATATCGCCGTCACACACACCGTCTGGGAGATTAAATTTAAGAACTACAAATGTTGACTTGAATTAAATACATTTTTATTTAAAAAGAAGAAAGTGCATGTAGTATCGGGCAACACTACGCCCGAATTGTCAAAGTATTTGTCATGATGCATGAACGAATAAACGGCACTTGAGTGCTGACTACCGAACCAAACACACGTCTTTCATTGAGCACTCTACAACATCACCGTCGAAATCATTCATCATCGTCGGATTTCCAATGTTTTCATTGGTTGTGTCATCAGTATTTCTACATCAAAAAACAAATAAAATTTAGGAGATAATCATTTACAAAACTTCGACGGCTGAGAACAGAAGTTACTTACGATTCATCTAAAAGTGGCCCATCACTCAATTTGGCTTCAGCAGACATCGTTTTTTCGATTAGCGATGAAGTCAAATTTGTGTCACCGCCTGAAATATTCCCGTTGCCATCCTCATTCACATCCAGACTTGTCCCCAGGCATTTGTCCCCTCTTGCAGTTCAGTTTTGTCAATTTGTTCAATTTCATCACTTTTGTCATCGATGGTTGTCTCGACGGCCGAGGAACTATTTGAATTGAATACATTTCACATATTTGGTCAAGATGGGAATACACCTTGCAAGTAAAATGCTTGCAGCAAGCATTTTTTCCAACGTACTTTTGTATTCGATTCTAAAGGTGGAAATACACCTTGCAAGTAAAGCGCTTGCAGCAAGCACTTTACTTGCACTTGCACAGTGTGAGTATCCTGCAAGTTTGCTTGTATGCAAGTACTTGCAAGAAAAATACTTGCAAGGTGTGAGTACCTTGCAAGCGTTTGCACGCAAGCAAAATTTCACTCGCATGCAAGTGAAGCACTTTCAGTACGCTTGCGTTCAGAATTTTCACTTGCATGTGCGATGTTAAAGAAATTAGGGAAAAAACCATTGTAGGAAGTTTTGCGACTTATCAATTCAAACTCACCATGATTCATATGGTCGCCACAACTTTAAATCTCTGTTTATATTAGAAAATTTTCAGCTCAAATGCAGTTCACAAAGGTTTCAGACTTACCATAATCTCATCACACTACATGTACGAGTAGGAAAAATTGTATCTGTTTGTTTATGTCAAATCGTATAAAAAAATGCATGGCTCTTCTGCCAAAGACATGGGTGTTGCTCGAGCTCTCGGATAATTGCAAAAATGCGCTCGTCGCTAATTTTTTCCGCCATTTATCAAAAACACTTCTCAAAATATCTCGAAAAAATATGAACTTAATTGATAAACTTATTTGTTTCAAAATATGAACTAAATCGATTGAAGAATAATGCGTGGCAATATCTTCAATAAGGGGATTGAGTTAAAATGAATTAAACAGCTTGAACGGAGTTCAATTGGTTGTGCTTCACTGTTAGTTTGAAACTGAATTTTATTTTGCTTCTTACTTACTAAGTTACATCGGTTAACCTAATTAATTCCGAAATGCAATTGAAATAACAAAAAATGCAATTATGAATAAGTTGCTTATATAACAAATTTGAAGTTAAATTTCGCAGAATAAAAATGTAAACAATTGAAATGATAACAAAAAATATTCTCTGTAATTGACACTAATAACTAACTGAATCATCGTCATGCATGTCAATAGACATCGATAATCTGATTCGATCGCACTCGCCCAAAACGTCTCACTTCCTCGACGATTTCGAAGCTAATGACGAAGTAGTAATTGATTGCAAGATTTCCAAGTGAAAAACTTGTACACAAAACCATTGCTTTCTTTTCTCCATGCTGATTCATTCTCTGGATAAATCGTTTATGAAATTCAGCAGTCGAATTTCAGATGACTTTTTTGCATAGAATTTGAAATAAACAAACAAACATTGCGATTAATAATGAAATCATGGCACTGTTACTAGACGCTGACGCTTCACTCGATTCGTTCTGCGATGTAGTGTGCTAATAAGGCAATAATATAAACACAAATAAATCCGACGAATTGTTTAGTCTGTATAAAAAGTGTTTGAATTTGTATTTCTAGGAAACGATGAACAAAACAATTTATCATTTGTTTTTATAAGAGTGAAAACGATTTTCTTAATCAGAAAAATACTTAAATAACAATATCAAATGCATTTTAGTTTGAAAATCATATGAAACATATTTAATTTTGGTACTGCCATGGCAATTCTCCAATGGCTGATATGAAATATTCTTTATTTTCGTTGCGAATTTGATCCAATGTAGCGTTTCTTCGCGATGGTACACGCTGCAATGGAATCAAATCATCCGGCGCATGCCATTGGCCTTGAACAACGACACCGTTTACGTCTCTGTCCATCAAACTTGGCGGAGCATACGAAGACGGGCGATGACGTAAGCAAAAATTGTGTAAAACACAAATGGCTGATATCATTTTCTCGAGCGTTTCTGGCTTATGCTCTATTTCTTTTCGGAGTATTCGCCAGCGTGCGGAGGCAATTCCAAAAGCATTTACTAAAAGGCAAAAATTCACTTGCTGCAATTGGAAATTTACTTGCAAAGTATGTAGGTGCTTGCAAGCACTTGCGCGCAAATACTTTCGTCGCAAGTAAAATCCAACTTGCAGCAAGCAAAATGCTTGCAAAGTGTAGAAATGCTTGCAAGCACTTGCACGGAGTAGATTTTGACTTGCACTTGCATGCAAGCGCTTTACTTGCAAGGTGTATTCCCACCTTAAGAATGACACTTGCATGCAATTAAAGGTAGTGTAATACATTAGTGTAAATTTTGGTCAGTATTTTTTTCCAAACGTCCACGAGGTAGGTTTATATGTAAATTGTACAGTGATAAAATGATCGAATTTCTTTGAATATTTAAATATATTTATAAAATCGATCATATAAACCTACCTCGTGGACATTTGGAAATAAATATTGACCAAAATTTACACTAATGTATCACACTACCTTAACTTGCTTGCAAGTGTCATTCTTAAGGTGGGATACACCTTGCAAGTAAAATGTTTGCAGCAAGCATTTTTTTCCAACGTACTTTTGTATTCGATTCTAATTTTCAAATCGGTTCAAATTTCAATTTGATGATACCTGGATTGAAAAGCTTGATGAATTGCATTCCGTTCTTCTGAAACTAGAGCCTAAACGGCGTTCTCTATGGATCCGTGGTGCTGCAAACAGCGGCAAAAGTTACATAGGAACGATGATCGCCCCTCTTCATGTATCTTTCGGAGAAATAGAGCAAACTAAAACGGATGGTGGTTTCAAGTTTCAAGACTTGATTAATCAAAACTTTTTTGTTTTCGATGAAGGTTTCATTACCAATGGTACAGATAAAGGTGTCAACGGACAAGCACCTTGTCCGTCCGTCCGTCCGTCGAGAGCTCTTGAACCTGATCAACGCCAAACGGACGGACGGACAAGAAAATTTCTAGCGGCCCTGAACGGACGGGCGGACGGACAATGAAATTCCTGAGGGTCCTGAACGGACGGACGGACGGACAACCAAATTTAGAGGGCTCTGAACGGACGGATGGACGGACAAAAAATTACGTTTTGTCCGTGTCCGTCGAAAAATTTTCATTTATTTTTGACGTGAAAATAGGTTTGAGCTGTTTCAAATGGGAAACTAATTACAAATCAGTTACTAGAATTTTGTTTTTGTATTTTTTGCGTCAAAAATCAATGAAAAACTAAATTTTTTGTCCGTCCGTCCGTCCGTTCAGGACCCTCGTGAATTTTCTTGTCCGTCCGTCCGTTCGTTCAGCGTTGATCGGACGGACGAACGGACAAGAAAATTTCTAGCGGCTCTGAACGGACGGACGGACGGACAAAAAAAATTCAAGAGCCCTGGACGGACGGACGGACGGGCTAAAAAGACGGACAGTCCGTCCGTTTGAAACCTTTAGGTACAGAGAGCTTCTGAAAATTACTTCTAGCAGCTCAATGTCCAAAGGCTAATGAAAAATTAAAAAATGGAACCAACTTGCCTCCTTCATCCGTTATTGTCATGACAAACAATGATAATTTTGTGGATTACAAAGACCCCATTTGGAATAGTCGCATGTACAAATGGGAAGTAAAGGCGTATCCGTATATCGATCATACGGATGTCAAGGCACTTTGGCCTCCGGCACTCCTTTACGTCTTTGCAAAGGTTTTGAAAAAAACTATGGCGATCCGGCTATGTTTGAGGTACCATTCCTCAAGCGGAAAAGAACAGTTACCATTGAGATCGAAGACAATATTAACGATACTTCGCGTCAGACGTCGATTCATGAAGTCGAGATGCAAAACGACGAACCAAACGACAGACAAAAGGACAAGACGAGCAAAACGGACAAGAAGACGAACAAAACGGACAAGACGACGACGAACAGAGCACACAAGACGAACAGGCACAAAACCTAGGTGAATAAACAAAATCACCAAATAACTCCTTCGGGGTCCAAAAAAAATATGTTATGAAGAATTTTAAAAAATCAGTTGTTTTATTTATTTATTTTTCAGAGCAAAAAAAGGCCGCTTGGCACAGCATTAGCTGTTTCAAACGGCCTTTTTTTTGGCTCGATAATCTCAGAAAATAATCTTTCTATTTTTCAGGGCAAAAAAATTGGCCGCTTGGCATAGCATTAGCTACGGATCCGAACTAATTTCCATGTACTCGACTGGTTCTGTTTGTACTGTTTCAAATTTGGCACATGTAGCATATTGAACCGGGGGAACACATCTCTTTCGGTGGGGGGAACACATGCTACGATCTTTTATGTTGTAATACCCTTTTGGGATATTAAAATCAGGCTCCACATTTTCATCCGGAGAAATGAAAATTGTCGACGACTGACTCAAAACCGGATTTTGTATCCACTTTTCCTTTACGACCACAAAACTTTTGTTTTGTAGATAAACTACAAAAAAAGCCATCACTTTTGATCACTTTTTTGTATTTTTTTCGTTTGAAAAGAAATTAAAATAATCTTTCGTGACTGTTCTTTGCTCTCAGTGCAACAACTTGTAAACCGTTGTGAAAAAATA